CTACTGAGCCAATACCAGCCAGGGCTAAGCATTTTCAAGCATAAAATATACTGGCATTAATTACATTTAAAATGTTGTGCACCTATTACTACTATTTTCCAAAACTTCATCACCCCAAACAGAAATGCTATACCTTTTAAGATTTACTTGTCTCTTCTTACCCCTAGCCCCTGGCTAGCACCATTCTACTTTGTTTTTATGAATTTGCCTATTTTAGATATTTCATATAAGTGGAATAATACAATATTTGTCCTTTTATGTCTGGCTTCATTCACTTAGCATGTGTTCAGTGTTTATTCATGTAGCGTGTATCAGAACTTCATTCTTTTTGTGGGTGAATAATACTCCATTCTATGTATATATCAGATTTTGTTTCTCCATCTTCTAATGGATATTTGGGTTATTTCCACCTTTTACCTGTTACGAATAATGCTTCAGTGAACATTGGTGCATAAGTATCAGTTTTGAGTTCCTGTTTTCGTATCTTTTGGGTGCATACCTAGGAATAGAATTGCTGGCTCATGTGGTAATTCTATGTTTAGCTTTTTGTGGAACCACCAAACTGTTTTCCATAATGGCTGTACTATTTTACGTTCTTACTAGTGATGTACAAGAGTCCCAGTTTCTCCACATCCTTGTCAACACTTGTTATATTCCCAACACTTGTTATATTATTATTATTATTATTATTATTATTATTATTGCCATCCTGTTAAGTGTGAAGTGTCTCACTGTGGTTTTGATTTGCATTTCCCTAATGACTAGTGATAATGAACATTTCATGTGCTTGTTGGCTATTTGTATACCTTTAGAGATATGTCTATTCAATTTTTGACCAATTTATAAATTGACTCAGAAAATAGCATTCGCCTTTTTTTTTTCCCTGCAGCAAGCCATTATAGACGCAGCCTACACCCTGAGTAGTAAGAGTGGCCTCACCAAGCTCCTTCCCTGTAATTACACTCAGTGTCTCAGAATCAAGCCACCATAGCTTTGAATTGTGCCTGTGAGCATCTGTGCTTTATCTCAGTTTATTTTGCATATCCGTTAGCAAGATATGTCCTAAGGTAGCAGAAAAGCCTAAGAGAGCTTCTACAGTGTTATAGTTAGCATAAATCGGGACATAATTAAGCCTTTCATCTGTTAAAGCAAGGACAATAGAAGATGTAAAGTTTTTCTAGTAATAACTATTTTCTGTTTATTCATTAAGTTGTCTCTGATAGTGTTTAGTTGCATAGGTAGAGTAGCAGGCACCAAAGATTTAAGAAAAATTGTGAGAGAAAAAAACCTTTAAATATTTATTATCAAAAGTAATTTTTTAATATATTTTTATTGGTTATGCTATATTTTTAATATATTTTTATTGGTTAAAATTGGGACAGTTGTCCCAATTTTTCCCCTTTGCCCCCCTCTACCCAGTACCCTCATTCCCTGTGGCAGTCCCCCTCCTTAGTTTATGGCCATGGGTCATACATCTACGTTCAAGTCCCTTTAACATTACATATAATAAGGGCTTGGTGATAATGAACTCCTTTAGCTTAATCTTGTCTGGGAAGCACTTTATCTGCCCTTCCATTCTAAAAGATAGCTTTGCTGGATTGAGTAATCTATGTTGTAGGTCCTTGCTTTTCATCAGTCTGAATACTTCTTGCCAGCCCCTTCTTGCCTGCAAGGTTTCTTTTTAGAAATCAGTTGAAAGCCTTATGGGAACTACTTTGTAGGTAACTCTGCTTTTCTCTTGCAGCTTTTAAGATTCTCTTTATTTTTAATCTTTGGCATTTTAATCATTGCGTGTTCTGGTGTGGTCCTCTTTGCGTCCATCTTGTTTGGGACTCTCTGCTTCCTGGACTTGTATGTCTATTTCTTTAACCAAATTAGGGAAGTTTTCTTTCATTATTTTTTCAAATAAGTTTTCAATTTCTTGCTCTTTTTCTTTTCCTCCTGGCACCCCTATGATGCTAATGTTGGTATGTTTGAAGTTGTTCCAGAGGCTCCTTATGCTATCCTTGCTTTCTCGGATTCATTTTTCTAAGCGTTATTTATTTATTTTTTAATGTTTTACTTATGAAAGGTTGTCTTCGAATCTGTTTACTGACTTTTTCTGTAGATTGCATTAAAAATATGATGTTTGGAAATGATGTTGAAGGTTACAATTGCTGTGTCAGGGTATAACATTTTTCTGAATAATGGACAAGGAGGAGAGATACTATTCTGCTCTGAGGTTTTAAAATCTGACGTGTGCTTTCCCCAAGTTATCCATCCGTCCAGGCCACACTTGATAGTTACGGACTATTTGTTCTGTTATGATTTTACTGCCACCTGGTGTCAGGATTAGGAAACTGTAGTTCAGCATTTCTTCTTTCCTTTCCCCCCAGAGAAATTAGGCAATCTTTCCTTTCAACGTGGGCCTGCTCTTTTTTATCCCTAAAGTAATTTAACAGTAAGAGCTTGTTTAATTTCAGTATACAAAAATTTTACTCTCTTTCTTGGAGCACTCTTGCCTTGGCTTCCTTGACAACTTTCCAGTGTCCTTCATGTTTCTGTGGCCATCCTCTTTCATTTCCAGACAGCCTGTTTCTCTTTCAGTGGGGTAATTTTCTTGTCCTAAATTCTGGGCCCTCTGCTCTCTTTATCATTTGTTTTCATCCATATTCAAGGCTTTAAAAACTGCCTATCTGTAGACAAATTTATTGTTATAACCAAAATTTTTTTCTGATTTTTAGCATCAGTCATCTCTAGTTGCCACCAAGGTGTTGCATGAGTTTTTCAAATTTAACGTGTTCTAGTCTAAAATATGGATTCCCCCACCTTGTTCCTATTTCTCAAAATTTTCTTTTCTCATTTCAATAACCTATCTCCCCAGAATTCTGGAAATCAGCCTGATATTTCTTGTCACATGCAGTTGTTAAACATTTGCCATGGGCCATTGAATCTACCAAGGTGTGTTCTTGTGCATATTAAATTTGTCACCCCTTTCTTGTTGCTTCCATATTTAAGCTACCACTGTCTTGTGCCTGTACTGAATAGGATACCAGTTAGTCTCCCTGCATGCACTCTTGATTGCATTCACATGTCTTATGGTTTGTTTTGTTTTTTCTAACAACCTTTCAGACTAACCTCAGAGCCCATGGTGGAAGAGACTGCATATATTTGGTTTACCATTGGGTCCCTAGAACCTGGTATAGTTCCTAAAACCTGTGTAATAAATATGAAGGGGGACCCTAAAAAACCCACAATTATCCTCTGGAGGGTGGACCCCTTGTACAGGCTTCCCCCACTAGGTGAGTGTCCTAGAAACCCATCTGTATCAATGTACCAGCTGGTGGTGGTGTGAGAGGCTGCGTGCGGCTTCAGGGAATTTGTTGAAGACTTTTTGAACATGTTTGCCCATTTCATGATGGGTGATTTACCAGTGCACCTGCCCACACTGTCCTGGGTGTTCACCAGTTTTTGACCAAAAATGACCCCGGTGCCCCACCCTCCCTGTTTACCTGATCTCGTCCCTAGCGAGACTTTTGTTTCCTCGGGTAAAAATGTCCTCAAAGGGAAATGCTTTGCCCATGTGGAAGACGTGAAACAAATTAACAGCAGGAGCATTAAAAGGCATCAAAATCAATGTACTTTTGAGCAGTGGAAAAACCATCTTGATAGGTGTATTGCATCAAATGGAGAGTACTTAAGGTGACTGCAATTTAAACATGTAAGAATAAACAACTTTTTGTAAATCCGGTTTTTTGGGGTCCACCCTTGTATATAGCCACTGTGGCGCTCATTGATATTGATATGATTCCTATAGTCTTAGTGATGAAGCTTGAATATATTAGAAAGTCTTTAATGATTTAGTATTTGAGTTTATTAATCATAAATGAGTTTTAGCTGTTTTCTCCTTTTGCCCAGAGAAACTTTAATGTATCTGCAAATATATATATTTATATACATATATTGCTGTCATTAGCTGATATGGGACTGCTAATCAATATGCTGAAATTATTCTAGAGCATTTGAAATCTCATGCCATTGGTTTGTCTTTTAGTATTCTTCTGTCTGAAATTTGAAGTTCTTTCATTTTAAAATGGAGGTACATTTGCTAAATATTCAATTTAAAAAATCTTGTCTTCAACTGTTCTTTTAAATGGAAGCTCAAGTTTTGATAGTTTCATTAAATTTGATTTGCTTTGTTTTAAAGATGGTTTGCTTTTTAAAGTTTTACTACTTGGGCTTACTTTCTGCTTTGAATTAATGGTATGCTTAATAAAGAAATTTAATTTGTAAAAATAAAAGTGATTTATAAAATGTTGGGTTTTAGAGATTGGTAACAATCTATATACTAACGATATAAATTCAGAAAGCAAAGATTTAATAGGCATATATCAGGGTTTCCCAGCCCTGGCATTATTAACATTTTAGGCTGGATAGTTTATTGCTGTGTGTGTGGGAGCTGCCCTGGGCCTTGTAAGGTTTTAGAAGTGTCCCTGCCCTCTACCCACCAGTGGTACCCCTTCCTCTCTAGTGGTGACAACAAAAATGTCTGTAGGCATAGCCAAATTGTCATGTAGGGTGCAAAAATGCGCTATTTGAAAATCAGTATATACTGTACTTAGAAGGGAATAATCGGCCATGAAATATCTCATTGGGAAATCTTTGGCATCCTCTAGGTGTCTTTGAGAGTGTCGTGGCTGTGTGGTATATTGTTAATGGCAAAAAGAAGTAGAGACTATATCACTGTATTTTTTTACATTTTAAAATTTATTTGCTTGCTTAAAATAAAGTAACTTTTGCACTCAACACTAGATTCTATCCCGAACTGTGACAAAATGATGCATTCTAAAACATATTTCACTGATAATGCTTCATTTTGTGGACTGATTTCAGAAGTTAGGTGGTAGTAGAAAAGGGAATCAAGATTACAACTTAGAGTATCTTGTAATCAGAGCTTTTGCCATTTGTGTTTGTATACAGAGGGTACAGGAATATTAACTTCTTTTCTTTTCTATTTAAAGGGACATGAGAGATGGCTTTAGAAGAAAGAGTGGCTACACTTCCCATTATGCCAGAGACCGGTCTCCTCATAAAAGAGAAACTCCTTTTTTCAGAGACTCATCTGTAGGCAGAAAGGATTCTCCACACAGCAGATCTGGTTCCAGTGTCAGTAGTAGAAGCTACTCTCCAGAAAGAAGCAAAACTTACTCTTTCCATCAACATAGAAGTATGTATTTTAAAGACCTTTTCTTTTTTTCTTTTACAGGCTACACTGATGAGAGTGTACTGAGTCAGATTGCCTTATAGGTGTTGTAAAAGATAAATTTTTTAGAACTTTTTCTTTTCAAAATTTTCAAACTTACAGAAAAGTTGAAAGTATAATGATCATCATGCACATGCACACACTCATTTTTTGAATTATTTCAAGTTGCAGTCCACATGACATTTCTAATTCATCATTGAAGAGATAGGTTTTTAAGCATGTTGGGAAGTCACATGCTCCCATATTTTCTGCTAGTTCCTGTGCCAGTCTAACCTCTTTAATCTTTTGTCACTAGGTTATATCTATATATTTGATAGTATATTTTTCATGAAAAATATCAGTGGTTTTCCTTATATATAAGGTATAGCCTTATGGAATTTAGAGTTAAACCTACCTTAGGTTTATTCTTTTGCAACCTTTAATTTGTTTTCTTTAAAATTGGAGTGCCTGGATAAGCACAGCACTGTATGCAGTCATGTCCTCCTGATTGAGTTGCTCAGTGTACCTTGGAATAAATAAATGAAATTTTCTTCTATTACCTTTGTAGATTCTACCACCTGCAGTTGAGTTCATTCACAAAAAAGTGCCTCTTGCCTTCTATATCCAAGGCACTGTGTTAGATAGAAAGATATCTCTGTCACCAAGGTAGAGTATGTATATGTATTTGCTCCAAACTAATAACTTTATCAGTTTGTAAATATAGCATATGTAAAATAGAACTTTGATACAAGAATCAGTATGTCATAAATGAGTTAACATGACATGAGCAGATCAAGTTAAGGGAGATTCTCACTCTGGGGATGGAAGAACATGTCATGGAAGAAATGATACTTGGGCTTATCTTTCATTTCAGATTTCTCTAAGTGGAAAAGGATCTTCTAAGTAGATGGAATTATAAGCCAAGGTACAGAAATAAGAAAAGTCTAGAATTTTTTTTTCTTTTTTAACTTCTCCTGTTTTTTTGTCTTCTAATTTTAGAGCTAGGTAGAGTGGGGCTTCCAAAAATATATTTTTTAATGTATGCGTATGAGTGGGCATGCACTTATATATTACCTTAGTGCTTAAAATGTTTTCAGAATAGTTCCAGGTAACTGAAAGTTTTACTGTGGAGTTCAGTGTTAACAGTTTGGTATTTCCTCCTCCTCTTCCACCCACCTTCTCTTCCAACAAGAAGGTAAACTACATCTAAGTTCTAATGGATGCTCGCATGCACAGACAATAATAACCAAAATTAACCAGATACCTTTTAGGAACACATTTTTTTTGATATGTTTGACTGAAGCCCAAATCTGTTAATGATTTGATTAAGAGGAGGAAAATACAGTATCTTTGGAAACTGATTGTGAAGCCTTTTAAACAAAACATGAATAAAATGGAGGCTTGAAATTCTTTTTTTAAAAAAGATTTTATTTATTTATTTTTAGAGAAGGGAATGGAGGGAGAGAGGGAGAGAAATATCAATGTGTGGTTGCCTCTCGAGTGCCCTCTACTGGGGGACATGGCCCACAACCCAGGCACGTGCCCTGGGCTGAGAATCAAACCCGCAAGCCTTTGATTCACAGTACAGAAGGAGCTCAGTCCACTGAGCCACACCAGCCAGGATGGAAGCTTAAAATTCTTACTGTAAGCTTAAAGTGAAGCTGTTATTTAAGATAGCTATTGGCGAATTAGCCTTATTGTTATTTTTTCTATTTTGTTTCTAAAACACATTTCTGGGGAGGCATCTTCTGTCTGCTCTTGACTTGGTAAATTAGCAGCCAAAACTCTGAAATCTTGAGAAGAAATGGGGAGGAGCCGCAATGGTGCTCTTGTCATAGGATCCTTTAGTATATCCATATTTTTACCATCCTTTGAAGTCTAGTGCCTTTAATATCTGGACTGTTGCTAGAATAACAAAGAAAGATGGTAGACTGAAATATGCTATAAATTGAATGAAATAAAGCATATGACTTTGTTAATACCTTCATGTTTATTTTTTAAGTTACTTAGCTTAGAAAGTAAACTTCTTCAGTCAAAAAAAGACTGAGAAACAGGGTCCTTCAGTGATCAGTCACTTAAACTGGGTTAATTAGCCATATTGTGTTAATTTAGTTTTCTACTGTAAATGAAAATTTTGCCATAGATTTTAAATGTTTCTATAAATAACAGGTAAAAATAATTAGGTAATTTTACCATTTTGCTAATTCTTTAACTTTTTTGTTTTTGTTTATGCTTTTCAGAGTAATTTTACTTATTTTAAAGATCAATAGTTTGGCCATGGTAACCATTTTTTTAATTAAAAATTTTTTCAATTACAGTTGACATTCAATATTATATTAGTTTCAGGTGTATAGCATAGTGGTTAGACATTTATATAACTTGCTAAGAGGACCACCCCCTATAATTCTAGTACCTACTTGGCACATGGTAATTGTTTAAGTACTAATTCTTCATAATTCTTCTGTTCATGTAGTGTATCTCTTATGTGCTTAATTATAAACTACAGGGTGATTTTTACTCCTTTTTCATCTCAACTAGTTATTTTTCATTTTGTGCTTACATGTGTGCACACGAACACCACACATTCATACACACATGCATTTAATTAAATTCCTTTTCCTTACTCTCTTGGGTTTATCTTATGGAACTTTTTTTTGCTTTGGGCTAATTATCCTCCTAAATCAAACTGTTGTTTTTATCCTGTGCTTCATCTATAAGGATTTTCTGCCTATAACCTAATTGGACTAACCTGGTCAAAGCTGTGACTACCACATTATTTTTCATTCCTTTTTGTTGTCCATATTTACATGCTACGACTGTGGGTTGCCCTTAACTTCATTTCCTTTCCTGTTGTTTATTAGGTGTTTTAGTTAAACTATTGTTACATATACCTTGTATATTTTTACTTGAAGTTTATTTTTACTCTAATTAATCTAACCAAGTATCTCCCCATTTGCCAGCTCTCTTAGGTATTTATTTTTCTTTTTTAGTCTCCTTTTTCAAATGAGTCCCATTGTTTTTCTCTTTCACTTTTGTTATTTATCTTTTGTTTAGTATTAGAGCATTAATAGTGACACCAGAGATTGCTAAGTTCAGTCACCTGTGTCCATTCCTTGTTAAAGTACTTCCTGTGATGTTTATTATATCACAGTCTAGTCTCTCCATCTTTGTATAGTTCATTTTCTAAAACAATTAAAATCTTTTACTGTAACATGTACATAATGCTAGTTATTATCTTAGACCCATAAAGATATTTTTGCTTTCTATGTTGTAACCATTTATGTATTTGACAAGTCCCATCATAATGTTCTTGATTTTTTTCCCCAGGTTTAAATCTATTTGGTTCTTTCAGCTGTTCCTTTTATGTGGCATGTTTTGGGCCTTTTGCTTTGCAAAATTTTTTTCTATTCCTTTAAAGTTGTGATGCCAGAAGTGAACTTTTATTTTGCCAACAACATTGTATTATTGACTCTTATTGAGACTGTAGACAATTGAAACCTAAACCATTTTCATGTATTTTACTCTTAATCAAAATGCTCTTCAGCTGTAACTTTTTAGGTGCAATTGTTATGTGTAACTGATACATTTTAAAAAATCTAGCTACACTAAATTTCATTTAATTGATTTTGGATTATGAGTCCTCCATAGGGGTTTAAAAATCTCATTTAGTGATCATATATATTAGTAGCAGATAAAAAACAGCTTTGTTTTATCTGCAAATGAAGTATCCTTTGTTTTGTATTAATCATTAATAATTTTGTTGACCCAAGCATAAGACCCAAGATAGAAACCTCTAGAGATCTCTCTCTGTGGGCCTCAACTATTTATCTGTGTTTTTTCCTGTTATTGAACTAGTTGTGATCCCTGGTCTTGCTTGTCTTTCTTTCCACTTGCAGATTTCATGGAAGACTTGGTCAGATACTTGAAAACAAATGACTCTTTGTTAATTCATTCCAAATATTTGCTATAGATTATATTGTCAACTTTACCAGTGATATTCATATATAAATTAGGCTGTGTGACATCTTGGTTGGATTTTTAAAATATCATTACTATGGAAGATTTGGAAGTTTATTGTTTTTGTGGATCTGTGTCTGTTTTTCTATAGTTCTGATTTGGGCCCATCCTCTCCTTATTTTCTTGATATCAGCAACCATTATTAAGAAGATATGTTAAAGAAAGACTGTTGTTCATCAATGTTTAATCCATTTGAAAGAACATCTAAGATAACTGAAAATGTACAAGAATTAAAAATACTATTTTGAGAAGAGACTATTTGGAAGATAGACTCTATTGTTGAACTTCAGTGTAATTGGATAAGATGCCTGTCTAGAGACCTATTGGCTATGAATACATTTGGAAGTCCACATTAACTTTTTGATTATAACCGAAATTCCAATAAAATTTAGAAACTTAATTCTGCCTTTAGAAAGAAGGCTTTTCTGTGTAAGTTTAGATGGTAATGGGGATATGGAAATAAGGTTTTATCCTAAGATCATGTATATTAAGCATTTGGAAGGAAGGTTAAACCAGTTCCCTTTGCAGCTGAATATAGTGTTTCTTGGTTTGAAAGTCGCTGTATTTATGATCAGTTTTCATACAGTCTTTCATTCCACAAAGATATATTTCAAATAAATAGTTTGCCAACCAAGAAAGATTCAGTCTTGCCCTCAGAGTTATGGTCTAGTGATGGAGACAAGTCATTACACAGGATTAGATGTTGTAAGTGGTATCTGAAGGGTTGGTACAAGTTGAAGGAAGGATGCAAGTGGCCAAGAGTTATGAGCTGTATCATGTGGAGCACCTGCAATGTAATTTAGTATTTTCCAAGAAGAGCTTGGACTTTTAACTGATCCATGCTATTAGTGTGCTGTGGAATTAGATGCCTTTTTTTTTTTTTTTTTTTTTTTTTTTTTTTTGGTTAGAGACTTTTGCTTACTCACAAGCCAGCTTTGGCTGAATTTCCTGTGGAATCCTAGTAGGACAGCCATAGCTTTTCCAGCATCTGAATGTTCATGGTTCTAGAATGGTAATCAATCAGTTAATGATGTTTCCACGTGTGTAGGCATTTATTGTATCCCTGTTTTAGGACTTAGTATGTTCTGTCAGTAGCACACATTCATAATATGTACAGATGATATAATATTTTATTGATATCTTAAAAAGTTAGCCCATGTAGTTTTAGGTGATGTATTAAAGGAGAGTTCTATTTAGAAGTGCACTTCCAAAGCAGTCATAGTTAAAAGGCTTTACTTCAACTTGTTGCATTGTTAACTTCCTAAATGTGATTATTTTGGGGAAGCAGAAGTGCTGGAAAGTTTCTTGTCCCCGATCTGGTTCTTTTCCTTTTCCCCTTCCTCCCTCCCTTCCTCCTCCTCTCCCTTCCTTCTTCCCTCCTTCCATGCTTCCCTCCCTCCCTCCTTCCTTTCCTTCCTTCCTTCCTGTCTCTATTTCTCCCTTCCTTTCTCTTTATCCCAAGAACATTTGCTTGTGTCCCCTCCATTTTCTGTTTCATACCTTTTTGAATAAATCAGTAGATGTCTAGGAAAATATGTTCTTCCTAACTAAGAGCCCCAGATAATGTTTATCATCATCCATGATTCAGAAAAATAAATTACTTCCTTAGCATCTGTGTAAGCACCACTTTTTCACTTATTCGTATCTTAATTTCTCCTTCAAAGCTTCAAGGGAAAAATGAATTATCTGTGCTATGACTTTTTTTGTTTCTTGTAAAGACTTCCATTCAGAGGTGTCTGTTTTGTTCCTAATTGTCACGCACTGTACCAAGAATTTAATAGTATGCAAGACATAGCCCATAATTGTATCATCTCCAATGGTGATTTTGTTTTGAGCAATGTTTTTTGTTCTTATATGGATTATCAGTTACAACACTTAATTAAGATTGGATGAGTCTGGTTAGGGTTATCATTGCTTTCATCAGGACACAATTAGAGAAAGCATATTTCTCAAAGATTGTACCAGATTTACAGCTGTTATATTTAAAGAGTCATCAAATATTTATTAATATTTATATCAGCTATTATTTCAGAGAGTCACCAAATATTATAAAATTTTTATAGAACTTCTAAATGTTTGTTGAAACAATAACCTGGTTCTCTAGCTTTGATTTCATCTGTATGGAAGGAGCTGTATACCTGGTCTACGAAACCAGTGTTTGAAATTCTATTTCATTTTCTTCCCATTTATTCTTTCACTCACCAGTATATTGACTTGGATTTTGATTTCCTTACTGCCACATTCAGAATTTTTCTTTCCTGGTTTCTTTCTTTCATCCTAACTTGGAACCTATTTTCTTAGCAAGTCACAGCAAAGGCAGAAATGTGTTGAGCCTTTTGCTCTGTCTCAAGCAGGCAGTTAGTGCTGCTTACTGAGATCATGTGTGATATGAATTTGAAGTAGCATCCTGTCAGTTAGAAATATAAAAGCATGAATGAAAGAAGCAGATTTGAGAAACAAGTATGCATAGTGTTGGTTGGAGCCATGTTAAGAACAGCCAAGCAAAAAGGATTGTGGTTAGGAGGAATACTTACTTTAAAGAACCATAACCAACAAAGAGAGAGAAAGGTGTAGTTAGGAAGTATAAACACAGAAGTACAAAGGCATGAAAACCAAATGGCAAAATATTAAGAAAAACTTGTTCAGTAATCATTAATAGTAGAGGACAAGAAAAAAGACCTGTGGTTTTGATATAAATATATATTTGAAAACTTTGGGATGAAGAGTTTAAGCACAGTGGGGTTGTTTCCATTATTTTTTGTGTTAAAAATACTCTAAAATTTAGTGAAGTAAAACAACCATTTAATTTTTTTTATGATTCTGCTGTTTGAGCCAGGTTTCGCTGGGTGGTTTTATTAGTTAGTTAGGATTAATTAAATAGCCCAAGCTTGTTTAGTTCAGCATGGTTAGGAATCTGTAGTTAAATGTGGTCATTCTTACAGTATCTCTGAAATTTGGAAATTTGGAATCAAAATCAATAAACATAGTATCAGTTGTATATTAGTAAACTGACTCTTTGGAGGGGAAAAATGCCTGATTCATGACATTTGCCGATATCCATGGAGTAAACACTGCAACTGTGGCTGACTTCAGGCTACCCATGTGGAGTCATTAAACTTACAGTTTGGAAGAGATGCAGACAGTCTACTCTCATCAGCTAACATGAGCGAGACTCAGACTCCAGGCACTCCTGTAAAACATCACTGTCCTAATCTCTAAGTCTACAAAGAATTTGAGGCAGGTTAACAAAATAAACACTTAATAAAATACACTAAGTAAATGAGTCAGGGCTTTTATGTAAAAAGGAAATGAGGACATGAAAATAAAAATAAGAATAAAGTTAGTAGTATATGAAATAATGGGTGTGATAGGGCTCTCGGTAGTTGCTGCAAGTGAACTAAGGATTTGCCTAAAACAAAGGGAGAGTGAGTATTAATAGTGTTTACAGTGTACCTTGGGCAAAAACATAATCAGCTGCTCAGGAAGAACAAAGATTTTCTGATGACAGATCAGAGAGCAATAAGAGGGATAATGCATCTTTAACAACATTCTTGCAAAAGGAGGGCAATATTTGTGTGACATTTGGAACATTTTTTAATGCACCTTGTTGACAGTGCCAAAATGATTCAGATAAAGGGTTGTTTTCTAAGAAAAAAAGGACGAAATTGGCAATTGGAGGTCTATAATAGAAGAAGGAGTTTGTATGTTATTGCAAAGATATCTGGGAGCCTCTGCTAGTATATGTAGGCTATTTAGAAAGCCGATTCCATCCGTATCAAGAGTTTGCAGGAAGCAAATAAAATATTTACAAGTTTCCGAATATGGGATAATTAGAGGTTCAAACAAAACAGTAGCTATGGATCTTTTTATAAAGAAAATGCCTATGTGAGAGAATTTGTATAAAAATAATTAGCACAATTTATAATAGGCTGCTTGTTGAGAGCATGTTAGAATCACTACTGCAGATAACCATTATAACCCCAGGGAACTGCTAAAATATATTATGAACACCTTCCCAGTGTCCTTTTTGATTTCTAGTGGTAATTCATCTTTCATTCTTGATGTTTTGGTGTCATTCTTTAATTAATTCTTTGAATATTGACTTTATGAAGAAGATTAGACAAGGTTTTTATAGTGGTGAATAAGACAGGATCCCGTCTTCAACTTTTGGTGCCCTATTTCATGATCCTCTTCTCATTTCTTTCTGCCCATGCTGTCTGTGGTTAGCCTCATCTTCATACTTCATGTTGTTAGACCCAGTCCATTTCTGATCTTAAATAGATTTTTCTCCTGTTCTGTTATTCCTCGTCAGTGATGATTGCTCTGGCAAGTCTAATGTGAAGGCAGGTTAAGGAAGAGGTTAGGGTCAACAGCAAGTGCTTAGAAGTTCTTGTCCTCATCACTCCCCCTTCTGGGTTCTTCTCTTATTCCTCCTGGGCACAGAGGTGCTTGCTGGTGGTAATTCCTCCCTGCCAACCTTTCCCTAGAATCCGTGCGTGCTGATGCCTCCTACAAACGGCAGAATGAAGGAAAGCCAGAAAGAGGTGAGTTTTGAGCTAGATTTTGACTTGGGATTGCGAAAGGGTGGGGGCTTGAATTGACTGAGGTTATAGAAATGGGAATAGTTTGTAACTGTTCCAGTAGTCTACTGTTGGAACCAGAGTTGAACACCAGTAGACTCAAATAATAGGATTTCAGGGGATCTGGGGGTTGGTTGTCTGGGTTGGCATTCCTGGCCATTCCTGGTCAGCAATAGTTACTTCACAGGAGGTTGAGATCTATAGATGAGACACGTCATTGGCAGATGGAATCTGACAACAGTAGGTTCAAGGGATTATTATTATTATTTTTTTACCTTCTCTGTGCCTTTTCTGCTGCCATCTGTATCATCCTTTTTCTTTATCCTTTGCTTCTTGCCTGCTCTAGGTATAGATGAGTACATGTGGATATGTGCTAAACTACTTGCCCTACCCTTCAGTGTTCTTTTGCTTCTGCACACTGACACTAGTTGAAATCTGCTTAAACTAGCCCTTCTGCAGCTAAAACCTGGAAAGGGTCGTGTAAGACTCCACTTGACATAGCTGTAATGCTGATGTCTTGTTTGTAAAGGAAATGGTAGGTAGGAGATTGACAACTGCTTGTGAAAGGTTTTTTTCCTGTGTCTAGCTGCTAGGTACCAGAGTTGACCCTGTAATTATGCCTTTAATGTGCTATGCTGATTGCTTCAGCTTCTCATCTTCTTCCACAGAATTGCTTATCTGAATAGGATGGGGAGGTAGTTGCATTCTAAGGGTAAAAAAAAAATATATATTTTCACTGAGTTTTTGAGTGCCTACTCTTAGAGTACTCGAGTTAGGTAGGTTTTGAGTATTCAGAAATAAATAAGCTATGTTACTTGTTCCTCTAGGTACTTTAAGTATAGTGAGATACACTGACACTGTCACAGTATGATGTGGAATTTGCCATGTGCAATGAAAATACTGTAGGGAATGACTAAATAACCCATGTTCTGAATTATTTGGGGATGTAGTGATGGTATCATTTTACTACTGGTTTTTTAAGGTCTGCACAAACCTTTAAACATGCTTAGTGTGGGGAAGCTTCTTAATGATACCACAAGTTAAAAGATTCTAGGGTTGTGTCTTAATTTTAAGACTGTTGGAGCTTTGTGCCTAGAGCAGGACATTTGAGTCTAGATAATTCTTTGTTTTGGAAGGCTGTCCTTTGCCTTTGTAGGATGCTTAGCAGCATACCTAGCCTCTTTTTACTATGTACCAGAGGCATTCTCCCACTTGTGACATCAAAAATATCTTCACACGTTGCCAATGTCTCGAGAGAGGTAGGGGGAGGATCTTTAGAAAAGCCTTTCTGGTTTGCAGGACATTGGAAAAATGTTATTCACTACTGTACTAAAGTCCTCAGAAGCCTGTGTCTTCAGGCCCTTACTTAGCTTTCTTCACTGTAGCAGGAAGAGCCTAAGAGGCTTTTTTGACTGAAGCTGGCTGTGCCTTAGTTGCAAAGTCATTTTGTCTGTGCCTTTGCTCTTGACTGCTTTCTTGGCCTTAATTCGCTGTCCAGTCTTGACCAGCTTCTGTGTCACTGCAAACTTGGTGTCACTTTTTCCTCTTCTTCATAATTTGTCAGTTTTCCTAGCAATTAAGAGCAAGGGATTTACGTTATATTTGAAACATGTAGACAATTTAATGAAATGCTTTCTGTCAAGAACAGCTCACTGCTATTTTTAAGATTATATTGAAATAAACTTGTATTTTGTTGTTGAACTGGCTAAAGTAATATTATTTAAATCTATTTTTATGCCTAAGGTTTCTATAAAAACAGTGGTATACATTGAGCACTGACATGAGTATCTGAAATGACTAAAGATAAAGGTTGATGATTTTTGTCTCATACAGATTTATTTTTAACTATTTAAAGTATATTTGGGTTCTCATTAATACCAGGCACTAGATTAGTGCTCTAAATTGTAGTTTTCTGATTTTTATTTTCATTTTTTAAAACTGTCTGAACGTTTCAGGAATACCTGCTAAATTTTATACATGTCCCTCTCTTTGAGCTACTGCTCAATTAGCTAGTTCTCTTTGGTGGTATCTATATAGTAACTACCCTTGTATTTTTATTGTGAGGTATTAAAAGTTAAATTTTAAGAACTTGGAGAAGGAAGTATTATTTATTTATTTGTTTGTTTGTTTGTTTGTTTGCTTTTCTGAGGTCTTCTCAGTGATTCTGTGTTTGCCAACTGGCATTGATGTATACTATAGGGATTGCAATATTTGATGCTCACTAGTTGTAGGTTACTTGAAATTTTTGATGTTGCCAGCCTCTGAGAGAGATATGTGGATAGATAGTAAGTAGTTTAATAATGTAATGGAAGTACTAAAATAAATGTATATCCTCCTTATTTATTCAGATGTAAAAATCACTATAATTGAAAACAAATAAGCTAGAGAATTACATTTTATATTTTCTTATATAGGTAAAGAAAGACCTGTTCAGTCTTTGAAAACATCAAGAGACACTTCACCCTCAAGTTCTTCAACAGTTCCTTCATCAAAGGTTTGTTATAAAATTAAGTTAAAGAAGAATTACAGAGAAAATGATAGGGACTGTCTGGTAGAGATAATTTCATTCTTTATTGTCATATGTGATGGGAGTAATTTGCTACGTAACCACAACTTGAAAGTAGCTACCAGAGTGAATGAGCAGTTTTGTCATAGAATTTTTTCCCACAGGTTATGCTGAAATTAGTCCTTACTTCTGTCCGGCTCATCTTGATCATAACCAGGTGGCAATGAATATTCAGTTGGAGTATATTAGATAGAGGCATAATGATCAATTGTGATTTATTCCATGGATGCAAGAATGGTTCAACATCCACAAATCAATCAGTGTGCTTTACCACATGAAGAAAGTGAAGGATAAAAATTATGTGACTGTATATACAGATGCAGAAAAAACATTTGACAGAATTAACATCCATTCATGATAAAACTTCTGAATAAACTAGATATATGGGAATGTACTTTGACATTATAAAGGCTGCTGAAGGCCAGACTGTGATCAACACCTGATATAAGACTCAGACATCAGAGTGGCATCCAAAGGGATGAACCAGCAGACAAATACCAAACTCTGCTGAGACCCATCCACTTGGTACTTTTTTCATTATTTTTGCTATTTTTATCTTTTTCGTAGCCTTTTTATTTTTTTAATCTATATTTTCTTTTTATTTTTGGCGCTCTGTCTTTTCTTTCATATCTTCTATTTTACTCCTACCTTTGAGTAAATTACTCCATCGTTCCCTTCTTCTTTCCTTTTATTATTTGTGGTACTTCTGTGTTCCTTTTCTCCATTTTCCTATTTTAATTCATTGCTAGTACTCTCTTCCCCTTTCTCCTTTCACCATCATTTTTATTTCCTTTGGTTTTCTCATGCTCTTTTTCCTTTTTCTGTTTTTCTCCTATTCCCTTTCTTTTTCCACTTTTATTATTCTTTGCTCTGTGGTCATTGATACTGCTTTTAAAGTGGTTGGGAGGGTGGGTAGCTTGTTTTGGTGTTTTGCTTTGATTGTCCAGCACCTATACAAGTGTACAAAATGTAGGAGTTGAGCCTCTTAGTCAGCCATCTGGAGGGGAGTTCCCACCAACAAATGGGCCAGTAACAATCATGATGCAAATACAGCAGGAGAGTCCGCATAACCCATGCAAAAGACATTCCTGGAGCATCCAGATCAGGAGGTCAAGGAGTCTGCACTGCTGGGTCCCACAGAACTCCTAGCACAAAAGGCCTCTCCACAAGACAGAGAATCAAAGCAGATCTATCTAATACATAGAAACCCAAGACACAACTGAAATGGGGAGACAGACAATCTACAAATAAAAGGAATGTCCAGAAAAAGAGAGAAATGAAATCAAGGCAAGCAGTTTATCAGACATAGAGTTCAAAGTAGTGGTTAAAGGATGCTCAAGGAACTTGGTGAGAACTGCAGGGAACTTAGTGGAAACTACATCAGCATGAAAAAGGACATAGAAGCCTTGAATAAGAACCACTTGGAAATGAAGAATGCAATATCTGAAATGAAGAAAACACTAGAAGGAATTAAGAGCAGGCTAGATGAAGCAGAGGATCGAATCAGGAAGTTGAAAGACAGAGTAGAAAAAAACACCCAGTCAGAGGAACAAAACAAAGAAGACTTAAAAAGAATGAAGATGAGGAAAAAGAAATACAGGTACAAAGGGAAAAATTGGCAATGAATAAACCTATCAGTAATAACCTTAAATGTAAATGGACTAAGTGTTCTAATCAAAAGACATAGAATAGCTGAATGGATAAGAAAACATGACCCGAATATATACTGTCTACAAGAGACACACCTCAGGACAAAAGATGTACACAGGCTGAAAGTGAAGGGTTGGAAAAATATATTCCAAGCAGATGGACATGAAAAAAAAAGCTGGGGTAGCAATACTTATAGACAAAATAGACTTCAGGACAAAGTCCGTAACAAGAGACAAAGAAGGTCACTACATAATACTTAAGAGAGTAGTCCAGCAAGAGGATATAACTCTTATAAACATGTATGCATCCAGTATAGGTATAAATATATAAGGAAATATATAAGGAAAATCTTGGAGGACTTTAAGAAAGATAGCAATTCAGTCATTATAGGGGATTTTAACATCCCATAGTCAACAATAGGTAGTCCTTCCAAACAAAGATCAACAAAGATATTGTGGCATTGAATGACACTTTATCAAGTGGACTTAGTTGACATTTACAGAACATTTCACCCCGAAGACACAAAATATACATTCTTGTTAAATGCACATGGATTATTTTCAAAGATAGACCACATGTTAGGACACAAAACAAGCCTTAACAAATTCAAGAAAATTGAAATCACATCAAACGTCTTCTCATATCACAATGGTTTGAAACTAGAAACCGACCTCAAGAAAAAAACTCAAAAACATTCGAACACATGGAGGCTGAATAGCAGGTTATTATATAATGTATGGGTTAACAGTGAGATCAAGGAAGAATCCAAAGTACATCTGGAAACAAATGAAAATGAACACACAACAAGCCAAACCTTATGGGATGCAGTCATGAGAGGGAAGTTCATAGCAATACAGGCCTACATAAAGAAGATAGAAAAATCTCAAAGAAATAACCTAACCCTACATCTAAACTAACTAGAACCCGGAAAAGAAACAAAGCCCAGAGTGGATGAAAGAGAGTAAATAATATCAGAGCAGAATTAAATGGCAGAGACTGAAAAACAATTCAAAGGATCGATGAATCCAGGGGCTGGTTCTTTGAAAAGATAAAGTTGACAAGCAGTTAACCAGACTCATCAAGAGAAAAAGAAACACAGCTTGCCTCCTTGCATAACCACATCAAAATTACAATTAATTCATAGAACAACCATCACACAGAATTGTAGGAAATTGGGTTGAATGGAAGTCAGACAACTATGAAATTAAAGAAACCACAACCATCCAGACTGGCAGGAGGGGCGGAGATGTGAAACAGGCAGGTCCCACATTTATGTGTGGTGGATAAAAATTTGGGAGGGGTATCTTGGGAGTGAGGAGTCCTTGCCCCAATTCCAGGCCCCCCAGCCCAGTGTTCCAGTGCCAGGAAGATAAGTCCCCTGGCTGCAAAAACCATCAGAGATTGAGTCAGAACAAACTTCTAGAGTCCCAAGCAGTTCCTCTTAAAGAACCCACACACAGACTTACTCAGACTCACTACTTCTGAGCTCCAAAGGTGAGGTAGTAGCTTCAAAGGCCTGGTGGCATACAGGGAGGAACTGAAGTGTTTGGCATCAAGGCAAGAGCTGGGGGACAGCTTTCTTCCAGACAGATATGCAGGCAGAAGCCATTGTCCCTTTTCTGAACCCTCCCTTCCCAGAGCCGCAAAATGGGCAGGCAGGGAACAGGTCTGAGACTCCCATCAACCTGGCTAACACTGTCCTGCCCTGAAAATTGCCTGAGGCTCTGTCCCATGCAACTTACAGTTATTAACAGTGGTATATGAATGGGTGGTCTTGGCTCATGTTTCACAACTTCCTAAGTCCTCTCAAACAAGCAGTAGCTGGCCTCAGTGAGCTCGCAACCCCTATACTTCTTGCTAAGTGGCCCCAGGCCCAGCACTAGCAGTAGCCAGCCTATATTCACAGCTTGGCTTCACCTGGGAATCTCCAAGGCCAGCACAAGTAGCAGCCATCTCAGATTGCTTTGTAGCTCAGGCAGGGTATCCTGGAACAAAACACAGGTAGGGGCTGACCTTGACCTTCCACATAGCAGCAATCCTGGTTAAGAAGAACAAAGTTAGAGGAATCATGCTGCCTGATACCAAACTACTACAAGGCCATAGTAATTAAAACAGCATGGTACTGGCATAAAAACAGACACAGACCAATGGAACAGAATAGGGAGCCCAGAAATAAACCTATGTCTTTATGGTCAGTTAATATTCAACAAAGGGGGCATGAGCATACAATGGAGTAAAGATAGTCTCTTCAATACATGCAAAAAAATGAAACTAGACCACCTATTTACACTATACATCAGAATAAACTCAAAATGGATAAAAGACTTAAGTGTGAGTTGGGATATCATAGAAATCCTAGTAGAAAACACAGGCAGTGAAATTTCAGATATCCAGCATAGCAATATTTTTGCTGATATGCCTTCTGGGGCAAGGAAAATAAAGGAAAAAATAAATGGGACTATATCAGGTTAAAAAGTTTCTGCATGGCTAAAGAAGCCAGCGTCAACATGAAAAGAGAACTGACTATGGGAGAATATATTGGCCAGTGATATATTGAACAAGGCTTTAATCTCTAAAGTATGTAAAGAAATCATACAACACAACACCAGGAAGACAAACAATCTAATTAAAAAATGAGCAGAGGACCTGAATAGACTCCAAGGAGGACATACAGATGGCCCATAGACATATTATAAGATGTTCAACATCACTAGCCGTCAGAGAGACGTACATCAAAACCACTATGGGCTATTACCTCATACCTCCCAAAATGGCTCTCATTTATAAATCAGCAAACAACAAATGTGGAGAAAAGGGATGAGCCGTAGTGAGCTGTTGGTGGGAATGCAGACTGGTTCAGGCGCTGTGGAAAAACAGTATGGAATTTCCTGAAAAAATTAAAAATGGAACTGCCTTTGATCCAGCAATTCCATTGCTCGGAATATATCCCCAGTATCCTAAAATACCAATTCAAAAGAATTTATGCACACCTATGTTCGTAGCTGTGCTATTAACAATAGCTAAGACTTGGAAACAGCCTAAGTTCCCATGAGTAGATGAGTGAATAAAAAAACTGGTACATTTACACAGTGGAATTCTATGCTGCAGGAAAAAAAAGGAATCCCTGCCTTTTATGAAAGCATGGATGGAACTTGAAACTATTATGCTAAGTGAAATAAGTCAGCCAGCGAAAGACACATCTCACTTATAAGAGGAATCTAATGAACAAAATAAACTAATGAGCCAAATAGAACCAGAGGTATGTAATCGTGGAGTAGGCTGACAGCTGTGAGAGGGGACTTACTGAAGAAAGGTGAAGGGATTAGTCAAAGAACATAAATGAAATACCCGTGGACATGGACAACAGTGTAGGGATTGACTATGGAAGTAGGGAGTAGCCTGGATGGAGGGTGGTGAAGGGTGAAGAAACAGGGCATCTGTAATAGCATAAACAATTAAAAAAACAATAAAAAATAAAGGGAAAGAAACTAACAAAATTTCTCAAGTCCTAAAAAACAGAAAAATTGTTATAATGTCTGTACTATCCAAGGAACCTACAGATTCAGTGCAATCTCTATCAAAATTCCAGTGTCATTTTTCACAGAAATAGAACAATCCTAACATTTGTATAAAACTAAGAAGACCTCACATAGTGAAAGTAATCTTGAGAAAAATGAACAAAGCTGGAAATAACACAGTTACTGATTTCAAGTTATTACAGAGCTATAGTGATCAAAACATACTATTGGCTTAAAAACACACACAGATCAATGGAACAGAATAGACACCTCAGAAATAAACCCATGTGTATATTGTCAATTAATATACAACAAAGGAACCAGGAATATATAATGGGGAGAAAACTGTCTTTTCAGTAAAGTCTTTTCAGAGAACTGGGTAGCTACATACTTAGAGAATAAAATTGGACCCCTATTTTATACCCTAAGCAAAAATCAACTCAAGTAGATTAAAATCTTGAATGTAAGGCCTGAAACCTTAGAAGTCCTAGAAGAAAACCTAGGTGGTAAGCTGCTTGACAGTTGGTCTTAGTAGTGAGTTTTTGGATTTGACACCAAATGCAAAAGCAAAAACAAACAAACAAAAAAGGCAAATAAACAAATGGAATTACATCAAATTAAAAGGTTTGTGCACATCAAAGGACATCATCATCAAAATGAAAACACAACTTACAGAATAGAAGAAAATATTTGCCAGTCATATATCTGATAAGGGGTTAATACCCAAAATATATAAAGAACTTATGTAACTCAATAGAGAAAACCAAAAAAATTCTATTAAAAATCTGAATAGACATTTTTTCATAAAAGAGATACAAATGACCAACAGGTATTTAAAAAGGTTCTCAACATCAGTAAGTGAAATAGACAGGAAAGACAGTACTGTATGATCTCACTTATATATGTGGAATCTAAAAATACAGATTCATAGGAATAGAGATGAGAAAGGTAGCTTCCAGGGACTGGGGTGGGGGTGGGGGAAAAGATGTTGGTCAAAGAGTACAGACTTCTAGCTATAAGATAAGTAAGTTCTAGGGACCTAATGTACAGCATAATTATTATAATGTGTTATATACTTGGAAGGTGCTAAGATATCTTAAATGTGCTCACCACAAAAAAGACATTGTAATTATGTGAGGTGATACAGGTGTTTGCTAACACTATGGTTATAATTATCTTGCAGTTTTAAAATGTGGGTATTTACACATTTTATAGACAAGGCTCAGAAGTTAAATAGTTTTCTTAAGGACGTAACTGCTCTTCATTGCATTGTTCTTCCAAGTCTTACCTTCCCAGCAACCCAAAATGTGTTGAAAAGATGATTCAAGGTTCTAATCTTCAAAACTTAAACATTTTTAGATGCTGCTCTGTTCTCTATAGTTAGAGATTCTCTTCACTAACCTCATACTCTTTTACTGTTGTTACATCTGTTCTCTTTCTTTACTTCTTTTTGTTTTTTTGTCTTTGGTATGTCTGGTTTTTCAGCAAGAGTAGATAGCACTTGTCAGTCTAGGCTGGTGTTCAGGGTACAGCTCTTCCCTGCCTCAAAGGGGAACAAAGAAAAAGGTATCTTTGTGACAGCTTGTGTCTTTAGAGCTTTCCCAGAATTTTGAGGATTTTAGAATGCTGGTTTTTGAATAGGAAAGATTGATTGGATTTTTTTGTTTTTGTTTTATCCTGTCAAGGGTGCCTTACCCACCTGAAAGACCAGCTTGTTTTCCTTGTCATAAAGAAATGAAAGAAGAGTAAATAGTACTTGCTCATTCATTTCACTCTCAATATTTAAATTATATGAAATATTCATTTCCCCTGAACTATAGTGCCATGTAAATATGTTACTATATAACATTTTGTGGCACATGTTAAAATATATTTAGAGGAAAACAATGATAGTGGATTTTAGATATTTTTGTCAGTTTATGTAGATGGTTGCATTTTTGTCTTAAGATGAAATCAAAATTTCAGAATTTTAGATCTATAATCATTTCATGCATTTCGAAAGTGCAGCCTCTTGTCTTCTTTTGCCCAGAGTTACATGGTAGCTATGGCAAGTTTTATTACCTAGATTTCCTGATTTGGTGGAAGAGTTTTTCTTTTAAATATTATGGCTGTCCTCATGTAGGGAGGTCAAGGGTGTTTGTTCAAAATTTATTCTCTGCTTTTAAAAGTTAGTGTCTTTCTTCAAAGTTTTATTAATTTATTTTTAGAAAGAGGGGAAGGAAGGGAGAAAGAGAGGGACAGAAACATCACTGTGTGGTTGTTTCTCTTGTGGCCCCACCTGGGGACCTGGCCTGCAACCCAGGCATGTGCCCTGACTGGGAATTGGACCAGGGACCCTTTGGTTTGCAGGCTGGCACTCAATCCACTGAGCCACACAAGTCAGGTAAAAGTTAGTTTCAGATGAGTTTTTCAGATGTACAGATTTAATGATGGATGAGTAGAAGATTGAGTTATAGAAGATTTTGCTTCCTTTATTAGTAAGGATAACTTACAGTGTTTGTTTTGTCTTTATAACTTTTTTTTCAAAACCGATGTCCCTAAAAAGTGAGGTATAATTCTTTTCTTTGATACATTTGTTCCTGTTTTTCTTTTAAATTAAAAAAAATATTTAAACTCTATTACTAAGTAATAACAAAGATATTATTTATACATTTGTAACTTTATGTATGGGTTGGGCTTTTGAGTGAGATATTTAGGCTTCTTTAATAGCTGTGGAATCACTCCACATAGATGCATTGTTGTTTTCTTCCAGTAAACATTATAGATGACAAGCCAGTAGTTGGGTGAATTGAATAAGCTGTGGAAGGAGGTCAATGGCCTTTTTGTTCTAGAAGACCTAGTTTTAAGTTTCCAGCTCAGCACAGTAACTGTGGGAAATCACTTTTTTTTTTTTTTTGACATTCAGTTTCTAGGTTTATAATTTGGGTAATAAAGTCTGCCCTAAGCCTCCTCATGGAGTACTGTTTAATTAAATATTTTTTTTTGTTTGTATATAAAAGCATTTTATAAATGGTAATATACCGTAACAGAGAGATTTCTGGCCCTGTGATCCAGAGGAGATATATTTGGAGATAAAATCAATGATGTGACTTTAAAGAAGCGATGGGGACAATATTAGAGGTGAAGGGCCTAATTGATGAAAATGTTTGCTAATGATATAGATTGGAATCAGGGAGGTACCATATGGGCCTAAGAAAAGAATTTTTCTAATTTTTGCCTTATAGTTTTTACATCTTATTCTGTAACATAGGTCTGTAAAAACCATTTGGAGAAGCATAAGTGATCCAGAAAAAAGCATTTTATTTTCTTCATTTTTATATTGACCCCATGAACTGATTGATTTTTAAATATGTTTTAGTTTTTATGACAGATTTATAGCAATGAATATGGATAAGAAAAACTAGAGTACCAAGCATTTGCTAGATACTTTCAGGTCTGTTAGCTCTTGTGAGTCTCACAACTACTTTGTAATACAGTGAATATTATTAATTTTTAAAAAAATTTTATATAGTACTGTACTAGTTTCGGGTATACAACATAGAGATTAGACATTTATATAATTTATAAAATGATCACCCCCATAAGTCTAGTAAAACTGAATATTATTAACCCCTATTTTGTAAATGAGGAAACCAAAACTCACAATGTCATAAATCATTTACCTAGTAAGTGATGAAACTGCCATTCTAACCTAGGTCTGTGCATAACTCCATATCCCATTTCTTGTTTAGTATTCTATGTTGTTGAGGAAGGGAAGTAACAGTAGTATCAGAAAATGAAATTTAAGTCTATAGATTTTATGTAAAGAGTAAGATTTATATAAATTATTACAAATTACAAAAAGAGCATATCCGGGCTTTTCTTTGCATTAATTAGTAATTTACCTTGATGGGGTTTTGGCATTATTTATTTCATTGAATACAATTAAAGATAGATTTCCAGGAAAATGATATTTTGTTATATTTTCAACTCCATTTTCATAAGTGTAATTTTCATAAAAATGTTACCTGCCAATTTTCAAATGGAATGCATAGGGCTGCAATCTGACATTCAACTTAAAGAAAAATTTGATCATGTCTCTTTACTGGAGTTTTCTAGGTCCTATCTTCCCAGAGACAAATATCCCTTGCTTCACAATCACGCCTTATTCATGTCATTGCTATTTGGCAGCACCTACATTAAAAAAAACAAAAGAAATTTGAAATCCATATGGTGTCATATATTCTGAATATTACTAGTATATTAGTTCATTGTTAGTGTCTTTTGTTTTGTTTCTTAGATGAATTTCTGAACTTTTGTGTAAATGAAATTAAGAGATCTAGTCTGTATGTCCTTAAGGAATTGCTACATAAAGAAATTCTATGTTGAATATTTTTGAAAAAAATAATGTACTTGTTTTCTATATGCATTTGAAGGCTTATATGATTTTAAGTGCAGGTGGGATGTACTTATTAATGTATTTGAAGTTTAAAAGCCCTTGGGAATTTTAACAGGACTGTTCTTTTGTTTTTATTAGGTATTAGACAAATCCAAGTTCCTAAATGAAAAGGAACATGCTGAAGCTGCAAGCAAGTGGGCTGCTGAAAAGCTAGAGAAGGCAGATGAAAGTAACTTACCTGAAATTTCTGAGTACGAGGTAAGGCATAATTCTTCCCTTATGTTTCACATCTGAGAGTTTAGTTTAGATTTTAAATTATGGGCAGAAAATATTTGGTTCTAGTATTTTAAAATGTATTTGGGGACAATATTCTCATGGATTGTTAAGATATATCACATAATAATAGTCTGAATAAGAAAGACTGAATTCAATAATTCTACTGTGTTGATACCTCCAATAGTTTAGAAGTGTGACAATAATATAAATATAAAATAAAAGGAAAATGCATTATTTACATGCTTCTTTTATAGGCTTTACTGTTTAAAGTATCTCTAGAAATTATGCAAAGCCATCAGTCATAAACGAGTGAATTCAGAACAGAAATCTAATTAGACCTTAGGTCTTGGACTGTATGTTGTGTGTTCTAGTCTATGTAAATAATTTCATAAATATCCCAAGAAATGAAATTATGCATTGTTTGGGCTACCTGTGACCTTTGATGAGTCTGGAGTACCAAAGGATTATAGCGGTTTTGGGTCCTTAGAATACTGTTTCTGAAGTGTTTGTGTTACAATAGTTGAAAATGAACTGAAAAATTTCTTTATAGCCTATAACTTCTCTAATAGATTATAGATGTTTTATGGGCAAAATTAAGATAAAGGATTTGGTACTTGAGGAATCATTTTGACATGATAGGCAGGGAATATAAAAATGTTTTTACCACGACAAATTATGTTTCTTTGGAAGAGATTTATGGCTTTTCAGTCTGTTTTGGATGTCTTTCACGGAATGTCCTGATAAAAAGGATCAAGCACTAGAATTCGGTATGCAAATTATATACCTATGTACATCTTCATAAACTATGAAAAGATCCTTTCCAAAATAACTAATGTACACCGCTCCTGGAAAGGATAGATCAACACTGACCCTATCTGTACTTGTGCAAATGGAGACTTTATTTGTAATTTTGATATCAATTATTCTTAAGTAGTCAAGGTTTTCTTGTTATTGTAGTTGTAAAATCAATATTTTTACATACTTTTGAGTAAATTGTTCAAAAACATCAAGCTGTTCCTTTTTGGTACCTTTCCAGTACTATTTAAGTGCATGAATAATACAGTAATGCATTTAATATGGTCATGTTGCTTATTTTCTTTGATAATTTAGAATAACGGTTTTTATATTAGTTATAGACTTAAATGCTTAAAAATTGCTCTTGTGCAGAACTGATAGTTTTTGTCAGGGTACTTAAAATTGAAAACCTCTAAAAACACTACATTGTTGTTTGTTAAATACTTTATCTTCAATTAGCAAGGCTTTAAGATATATAGGGTCTGGCACAAATAATGCCCCTTTTATATTACAAAATCATAAGCAGGTAATTCTGTAACATAATATCACACTCAAGCATACCATATGGCATTTTATGTGAAATGCTCAAATTAAAACTATAAATTATTACACCTACCAACCACACTCAAGGAGGCCTTACTTCTGCCAGACTCTGTATTTATGCTCCCTTACCCATCCCCATCATTTTTTAATATCTTAAAATTTAAAAAAAACACTATTTACCTTTCCCTAATTTTAAATATTTTACTTATACTCCTTTATTATTGCTTGACTGGATCTTGACTCTGAATAGGCAGTGACATGTTATCCAGAAAGACTTTTTTAAGACCTCCTTATTTTTTCTATAAAATATGTCCAGAATTTCCTAGATTTTGAATTAATGACAAGTAAATAACACTAACAAATGTATAAGGAGTGTCATAGATCAGATATGATCTCTGTTGAACCAAAGGCAAGGTGAATCAGAGTAGGAATGAAATTATTTTAGTATGTTCATTACTTGCTGTGCGTCATTAATGTGGTGAAGCAGCAACAAGGTTGTAGCATTATCTAAAGTGTTTTTTCAAGTTCCATTGATACTTTTTCATACTGGAAATAAAGCAGTTGGGGAATATTTATTTTAAACTTTTTAGTTTAAATATTTTATATTGTTTTTTGTTTAAAAGCTTGATTCCACCATATCTTATTAACATTTTGCTCAGATAGTTAACATTTCTTCTTGGGGAGCTGTTAAAAAATTACTCATTTCAGTGATCCATGCTGTTTGCAGTACAGACTTTGTGAGAATTTTCACCTTGGTTCTATAAACTCACATCTAATTTGAAAGAATAAACTGGAAAGAAAAAAGGACTTTAATGCTTGGAAAGAGTTGGGTATAGTTTGTGTGTGTGTGTGTGTGTGTGTGTGTGTGTGTGTCTAAGTTTAGTTGTGACAGTATTTTATATTAGCTATTTATATAATGGTGTATTTCATAAACATTGTGTAGGTTCATTTTTATGAGTAGAGAGAGATTAAATATTTAGGTTTCCAGTTTCTTTTCTCTTGCTGCCACCAACATAGGTTTAAGCAATTTGGTTGGGAGGCAAGGTAGTTTTTAGGTGAAGTACAGCGAAATTACAGATATATTCATGTGATATACTTAAAATAATTCAGAAATGTTGTAGTTTATTCCTCTGTTTAGTTTTATAATTTTACCTTTTGGCCACTAATAGAGAATTTCCCAAAGTATTTGATAAAATAGTGATTATGAAGGGTCCTAATGGTTTGAGGAAGTAAAAAAAGACTATATTAGCTAGTATGTTTGGGAAATGCTAGATTTTAAAAAGTTAGATTGATTTTGATAATTCAGTGCTTTTAGAGATTTTTAATATGTTAATGTGCTCATCTGTGGTCTGTGAAAGGAGGGTAAATAATAAAATTTGCATAATTTATCCAACACATGAAATTTTTTCATAGTGCATATTTTAAGGTTAATATTTTAAAGTACTTATTTCAGGAAATACTACTGTACTGACTTTCTCATAGTTTATTTAAATTAACTACATATTCAGTCTTCATCTACTTGTGTCAAACCCTGCATTATAGACACCATCCTAGCTGCCAAGGAGTTTACCGTCAATCGAGTTTCATAGGGATACCATTTACTCTCCTAACACAAATGACCAGGAGAGTTTGCTTTTGGCTATCAGAATGAAAATAAAATTGTTTAAAGGCTATTAGAATGTCCCAGTAGAACAGGTGATTTTTTACTGCAAAAGAAAATTTAAACATTTTTATTTGTGTGAAAATGTGAATTGACGCTTTTTCCACATATAAGGTGTCATTTTCAGGCCCTGGACAGGTAGCTCAGTTGGTTAGAGCATCATCCTGATACATCAAGGTTGCAGATTCAATCTCTGGTCATAACACATACAAGAATCAACCAATGAATGCATAAATAAGTGGAACAACAAATCATTCTCTCTCTCAGAAAATCAGTAAATAAAAATAAAGTGTCATTTTCTGCTTCAGTGTCTCTGGCTTATTCTGTCACCAGTGAAGAATGCCCATCTTCATGCTCCTCATTCAAACTCATTCAGTGGAATCAGTAGAGCTTGGGATAACAAGACTCAAGAACTTTCTTGATTCCATTTTCCTCTTCTTCCTATGGTAAAATTTTATACCACTTGTATTTCACTGAGGACATTATATTGTCTTTATTAAAACAATTTTTTTACTTTTCTAGTTCTATATATTGAATATACCTCAAAGCATTTACCTTGTTTTCCCCACAGCACCTTGGATAATTTATCTAAATAATTGAACTAAATTTAGTTACTAATAAGCTTTCTCCCCAGTTTTATTGAGATGTAATTGACATATAGAACTGTATAAATTTAAGGTGTATAGCATAATGTCTTGACATATATATAAATATATTGTGAAATGATTACCATGATAAGTTTAGTTAACATCCATTATTTCATGTAGTTACCCTCCAAAAAGGGGGGAAAATAAGTGTTTTCCCTGGTGATAAGAAGTCTTTGGATTTACTCTCAGCAACTTTCAAACATCCCTTATGTCAGTGTGTACATTCTCAGTACTATTTATCTTGTAACTGGGAGTTTGTACCTCTTGACCACTTCCATCCAGTTCTTTTCACACCACTCCCACACACACCCCCTCTGGTAACTACAAATCTGGTCTTTTTTTCTATTTTTTTCTCTTTTTGAAGATTCCACATAAAAATACGATCACATAGTATTTGCCCTTCTCTCTCTGACTTTGCTTGGTGAGAGGGACATGTGCTAAATTTGGATAAGTGCTGCCAAGTTATTCTCTAAAGAAGCTGTAGCGGTATACAACACACTAGGTGTTGGAATGCCACTGCTTTTACTGATGAAGAGTACCAGTAATTGTTATATGTCTTACGACTTTTCTAAATCTACAGCTATTTCCCACAACTTCAGTCACAGACACCCTAAGCTTTTTATAAACTTGTGTTAAAGTACACAGTTCTTATTTCTTCCCTTATCCTCCCACCCACCTAAAAACATACAACATTTAAATATATGCGCTCAAACAGTTTACTCCAAGTTACTGCTTAATGTAGCTTGCTACATGAAGTCAAGAACTTTTGTCTCTTCTGTTCATTAATATATCCATTGTTCCTAGAACAGTGCTTGGAATTTTTTATATAGCAAAGTGGTGAAGAAACGAATGAATATAATTAAAATAATAATCTTTCCTCATTTAATTCTCCTTTTACCAAGTGTTTTTAGAAAGTAAAATAACTAGATTTTTTGTGGGATAATTCATTCAAGTGTTCTAAAATAGAAGTGCTCATTATTACTTTTGGGGATTGCTTTGATTTATTTCAAAAAAAATTCTTAGGCTACAGGGGCAAGATAGTTTCAACTTCTGAAAATAGAGCCCTTTTCCATGTTCCTTTTAGTACAATTGTGTATGTGTACATACACCCCTCAGTTCCAGTTGGACTTTTTCTCTTCAATCTTTCTTAAATAGATTGCTTAAGGAATAGTTATAGGACAGAACCTTCGAGCTGTGTCTTAATATAATATGAAATAGAAATTTGGAATGAAATAAGCCTAGAGATTTTGTGTAACCTAAAATTTTAAAAGTTACGTGTCATTTCTTCTTTAATTCTCCTCACATGCTTATTATGAATAATGAAATTGAAAGTATTTTCTTAAGACAGGTTAAATTTATCATGTTCTCTTAATATAACTCCTAGTTAGTGCCTTTACAAGTCATTTGAAATGCTGTATGTTCTTTAAGAAAGCAATTAAAGATTTTGAATTCTTCTTAAAGGCGGGATCCACAGCACCATTGTTTATTGACCAGCCAGAAGAACCTGAGTCAAATGCAACAGATGGCATAGAATTATTTGAAGACAGTCAACTAAACAGTCGCTCTAAAGCAATAGCATCAAAAACCAAAGAGATTGAACAGGTGAGATTCCAGTTTCATTAAGGTACATAATCTTTTGTTTCTGTCACTTTGCCACATGGTATTTACAGTAAATAGTTATTGAATAAATACTCTGAAACTAATTTTAAAAATTATAAAAAATTGTTTGATTTGATTTCACCATTTGATCAGTTTGGTCCTTGACCCCTGTTTACTTATTCGTCATTCTAAATAAAAAGCAAGCATCTTTTTTTAGAGAATCTTAGTATTCTAGTTAGTATGGAGCAATTTTAAAACTATTAGAGTTAATAGGGACGGGCTGAAATATGAAATACACCAAAATGTTAGCAGCTTTTTTTTAATATTGGGATTACAGATGTTTCCTAATGTTTTTCATTATACTTTTAAGCTTTTTTTCAAATATTAAAGAAAAATAAATGATAGGTATTTAAATCTTATTTTAATGATGTCATTCTTGAAAGTTAGCATCTTGTTTTTAATAGATTAAATAGTTTGTTTAAGGAATAGTTATAAGGCAAAACCTATAGTGTGAAATACAATTTTGAAATAGTATAAGCCTTGAGGCTTTGTCTTACTGAAGATTAAAAAAATAGTTGTCCTTTTTTTCTTCAGTCCTCCTCACTAAGCTCATTATGCACAGCAAAATTTAAAGTGTTTCAGTGTGGAAATATTGCCTGCTTCATAGGGTATTACCACTTTATGAGAAGTAAATGAATAAATTGTAAACGAGCTTTATACCACATGACATGTTGTACAAGGGTTTGTTTTTGATGTTTCTCTCCAGTGCCTTGAGTAAATGTCATTATATTGTTATATAAGCTTCTAAAAACTATTGGAAATTAAGAACAGAATTAAGTCTTTTCTCAAGATGCTGTCCAATTCCATATCAATTAAAATATATTTCCCTTGGTTGGACAGGAGGAGATAGTAATTAAACCCTAGGTATGATTGTGCAGCTTATATTGATACCGCCCTAATGGCTAAAGGTAAGAACATGGATAGGAGATTTGTTGTGTGAACCAGTAGGATTTCAAATGGAGGTGATCAGCAGAATCAGTTGCTTGGAGGAATATAAGGAAAATGGAGACTAGGAAAATGTTTAATTTGGTGAAGTGAAGACGGATTGGTGCCTTTCACAGTATTAGTTAAATGAGAGCATAAATAAAAGGTTTGCTCACAGGATATATCTTCAATATGATTATGAATATCATTACCCTGTATTAAATTGCTGCCCTTCTGTCTTTTTTACTCTGGTTTATTTTTCTTTGTAGTGTTTTTTTTGTTTGTTTGTTTTTTGCCACTTGACATGTTTTATTTGTTTGCTTATCTCCCTACACCATAATGGAAGCTTCATGAGAGCAAGGACTTTGTTACTACTTTATCTCCATTAGCGAGAACAGTGATTGGCATGTAGTGGGCTCACAAGAAATATTTGTTGTATACATGATGAGTAGAGTCATAAACCTAGAAGTGAACTTCTAAATAGTCTCTGAGTCACTTGAAATCAGACACTGCATTTTTAACCTGACCACCTAACAGAGTGCCTAGGCCCAGCACTTAGTATTAAGTGCTTGATAAATGTTTGTTGAATGAATGATTTAATGTTATTTTTCTTTTTCATCTGATTTTCACTTCTTTTAAGCAACTTCTCTTAAGAAAATAACTGTTTGAAAAACTGATTGAAATTAAAGGGGAGAGAGTATTATTTGGGGTTGTGGCTTATTAATATATATATTATCTCATTTTGTTGTTATTCATGGTAGATGTATTTGATCTTGAAAAGGCGAGTTACTAGTCAGATGTGAGGCTAGCTTAGCAGTATCTACAAAATTATTTAATATGAAACCTTTTTTTAAGATTTTATTTCTTAATTTTTAGAGAGAGGAGAAGGAAAGGAGAAAGAGAGGGAGAGAAACATTGATATGCAAGATACATTGATAGGTTGCCTCTTGGACACCCACAACAGGGGACCTGGCCTGCAGCCCAAGCATGTGCCCTGACTGGGAATTGAACCAGCAACCTTTAGGTTTGCTGGCTGGCACTCAGTCCACTGAGCCACATCCGCCATGGCTGAAACCCATTTTTATAGTAGTTTGTAGATACCCATATATGCTTCACATATAAAGGTGACTGTCTCTGTTTTTATCTGCCCATTGTTCAACACATGAAAAATCTGATACTAAAGTAATTGAAATTATTACAGCAAAGATAGATGACCTAAGGAAATAAAAACAAATATAAAATGACACTGCCATATTTTAATGTAAGTGAAGTAAAATGGTTATTAAAAGTATTTTAAGATAGAAAACTTAATGATGGATAAATATTGGAATGTAACTACTGTGTTTTTGCTAGAGTGCTTTGGTTTTCATATACTAGCAAGAAATCAAACCAAGCCCCCCAAATGTCAGAAAGCTAGCAAATAATTTATAAATTTATGTCTAAAATTTATAAATCTATGTCTAAAATTAAGTGATTTTTAAAAATGAAAAAAGGTAGTTTTAGGGAGATTTTTTCCCTTCATTTTTTTCTATTCCTAGCTTTCGCACATTTTATTTTTAGGGATTAAACACCTGACGAATAAAATATAAAGGCTTGAGAAAGCTAGATGGTAGTTACACAGCTGTCCAGAAATTATTGGGTTTTTTTTTAAGAGTGAATTTTTAAAAGATATATTTATTTATTTTTAGAGAGACGTGGGTAAGGGAGGGAGTAAGAGGAGGAGAGAAACATCGCAAGAGATACATCTATCAGTTGCCTTTCCCACACCCCCAGCTGGGGACCTGGCCCACAGCCCAGGCATTGCCTTGACTGGGAGTCGAGCCAGCGACCACTTGATTTTGCTGGTCAGCATGTAGTCCACTGAGCCACACCAGCCAAGGCCAGAGTTATTATTTACAGTTTTTTCATATTCTTGAAGTACTTTTAAAAGAGAACAATAGCCCCAAACAAATCAAGCTCAGAATAATGTAAAAATGTAAATATTGATGTAATACTTGAGCTGCTTTTTCTTTGTCATGTCAAGTGAGTATGTTCAGATGCCTTGTAAAGATAAATTATCACATGTAATGTTTTGAGGATTTATATAAATCAGGTTCTTTAGCCCTTGAGTCCCCAGAAAGTCATTATCTTGAGGCAGTATTACAATATAAAATAAACTTAAGTCTCCAGACCAAAATTTGGTATAATTCAAAATGCCTACAGATGCAGTGATTTGATGTTTAAGGGCATGCATATGGGGTAGATTGTATTAGAAAATAAGTCCTTTGCCATATTTTTGCTATCTCATCCCTGTGCATATGAAAACTTGGTAAGGTTTGGGGGGTGCAGGTGCTTTTTGACAAAGATCCCAAGATTATGGTCATATATGACAGAGAACCACTGGTCTCAGATCTTTGAGCCAGGAGACATCAGGTTGCATCTGAGTATTGTGTTGCTAGAGATCATCTAAATTACCCCATTTTTACTTGAATATCCTTCAGTGGATATGATACATACTTTTGCCACAGTTCATTTAGCCTCCTTATGCTTTGGAATCCTATAGTGTATCATTTTTCCCCTTTTCCCCCATATTACCTCCTCTTACCTAATTTGAACCATCCTTTATATTTAATTACTGGGATACTTTCCTTGCTTCTTAGCTTCTGAACTTAAGGGAATTTCAGAATTTCTCCTGTTATTATAGTAATTCCTAGAGAGTTTAACCCACAAAATTATGGGTGAGGCATATCCTGGTTCAGGTGTTTGGCATTAGTCCCTACACTGATATCTCTCAAGTCCTAACATACTTACTATTACTGAATTATTTGATTTGAAAGTGCATCTCACTACTTGATATGTCACCAGTGAAGAATCATGTCTTTTAACAAATTGTTACTTTGAATGAACTGCACAAATTGAAATCTTCCATTATTACATATCCTTCTTCCATCTACTGAACCTCCAGGGATAAAGCAATATTTACTTTAACTCCTTGGAACTTACTCATGTTTAAGATTTGCAAGGCCCTTCATACTTTGATAAAATTGTGCTTAAATATAACCTGTTTCTTGGGTCCTTGACATCTAATGATGTTGCAAGTCTCTTTAATTCCCCACAGATACTACAAGATCTGTATTTGATTACGTATCTTCCACTTCAGATGGAATCAGATAATCTGAGTAGATCTATAATATACATATATAATATGCATATGCTTGTTCTGCCTAGCAGATCTTTTGCCTAAGAGTGTCAGGGTAGCTAAAAATCCTCCTAATAAAACAACTATGAAGGATAGTCAGTGTGCAGCTGGAGTTCATTAAGATATTTTACTATGCAAACTAGTCTTGAACAAAGAATCTTCCATCTCTTCACCCTCAAGGCTCAGTACTTAAGTTGTGATTCTCTACCTTTGTTTTACATCTGTAGAGTTTCTTTGATTTTTACCATAAATATTCTGGTAAGTGGGTTATTAGAGCTTCACCAACTTTAATATGCACATAAATCTCTTGGGGAGCTTGTTAAAGTACCTATTCTGACTTGGCAGATCTGGGATGGGGGTTAAAACTGGAATTTCTAACAGTGTCCCAGATGATGATGATTCTATTAATTCTAGTCTGTGGACCATATTTGGAGAAATGAGTTGGAAGGAGGTAACTTCTTACGTTCTTCTATAGTTCATACTGTGCTAAATGGTTGAAAACTACTACCTTATTTTTTGTAAATTAGAGAAGTTCTCCTATTTTTTAAATAGGTATAATTGACATACAATAAAATGCATAAATCTTAAATACTCATTTGGGTACGTTCTGACAGTTGTAATGCTATGTAACTGTCACCCCAAACAAGTAATTCTGAACATCTTTCTCTTCAGTTATGAACAGTTGATTATCCTGACAGTAATAGGATTTAGTTAGGAACTAAAGTTACAGTCATATCTCACAAGTATGTGCTCTGATTTAGTTTATGTTAAATATCCTCCACCCTTTCTTTGAAGGCTGTTATTTTAAGTAATAAGTGTAAAATTCAAAATGCACAAGAGA